TTTCCGAATTAAAATCAATGATTTTTTGGCTTAGTTATGCATTTTTTAAACTATGATTTTCGGAGAAAATTGCCTGTTTTTATACCTTTTTGCAAGGTTTTATAATTTTATTTAAAAACTAACAATAGCATCAACAAACGCAGTATGCAGATTAAATAGTACAATAAAAACCAGTACAAAACAGCTTTCCGAATTAAAATTAATGCATTTTCGGCTTAATTATGATGTCCGAAATACTTAGATTTAAAAAAAAAATTGTCTGTTTTTATACCTTTTTCGTTGGGTATAATTTAAGTCAGAAGCTTGTTACGCTGTGAATGAATCATTTCCGTCCCTACAAACCATATATATTCTTGATCAGCATCAAAAGCTGAATCGATCTAGCCATGTCCGGTCAAAAAATAAATTTTTAAGATTTTTCCGAAAATTGAAAATTTCATAAGGGGTTACATCATTAAAATTGTCAAAATTTGACAAAAAATGGAATCTTTTAAATTTGAAAACTGAGTATGCAGATTTGTTAATCTATTAAAACTTAGCATAGAACAGCTTTCCGAATTAAAATCAATGATTTTTTGGCTTAGTTATGCATTTTTTAAACTATGATTTTCGGAGAAAATAGCCTGTTTTTATACCTTTTTGCAAGGTTTTATAATTTTATTTAAAAACTAACAATAGCATCAACAAACGCAGTATGCAGATTAAATAGTACAATAAAAACCAGTACAAAACAGCTTTCCGAATTAAAATTAATGCATTTTCGGCTTAATTATGATGTCCGAAATACTTAGATTTTTAAAAAAATTTTCTGTTTTTATACCTTTTCCGTTGGGTATAATTTAAGTCAGAAGCTTGTTACGCTGTGTATGAATCATTTCCGACCCTACAAACCATATATATTCTTGATCAGCATCAAAAGCTGAATCGATCTAGCCATGTCCGGTCAAAAAATAAATTTTTAAGATTTTTCCGAAAATTGAAAATTTCATAAGGGGTTACATCATTAAAATTGTCAAAATTTGACAAAAAATGGAATCTTTAAAATTTGAAAACTGAGTATGCAGATTTGTTAATCTATTAAAACTTAGCATAGAACAGCTTTCCGAATTAAAATCAATGATTTTTTGGCTTAGTTATGCATTTTTTAAACTATGATTTTCGGAGAAAATTGCCTGTTTTTATACCTTTTTGCAAGGTTTTATAATTTTATTTAAAAACTAACAATAGCATCAACAAACGCAGTATGCAGATTAAATAGTACAATAAAAACCAGTACAAAACAGCTTTCCGAATTAAAATTAATGCATTTTCGGCTTAATTATGATGTCCGAAATACTTAGATTTAAAAAAAAAATTGTCTGTTTTTATACCTTTTTCGTTGGGTATAATTTAAGTCAGAAGCTTGTTACGCTGTGAATGAATCATTTCCGTCCCTACAAACCATATATATTCTTGATCAGCATCAAAAGCTGAATCGATCTAGCCATGTCCGGTCAAAAAATAAATTTTTAAGATTTTTCCGAAAATTGAAAATTTCATAAGGGGTTACATCATTAAAATTGTCAAAATTTGACAAAAAATGGAATCTTTTAAATTTGAAAACTGAGTATGTAGAATTGTTAATCTATTAAAACTTAGCATAGAACAGCTTTCCGAATTAAAATCAATGATTTTTTGGCTTAGTTATGCATTTTTTAAACTATGATTTTCGGAGAAAATTGCCTGTTTTTATACCTTTTTGCAAGGTTTTATAATTTTATTTAAAAACTAACAATAGCATCAACAAACGCAGTATGCAGATTAAATAGTACAATAAAAACCAGTACAAAACAGCTTTCCGAATTAAAATTAATGCATTTTCGGCTTAATTATGATGTCCGAAATACTTAGATTTAAAAAAAAATTGTCTGTTTTTATACCTTTTTCGTTGGGTATAATTTAAGTCAGAAGCTTGTTACGCTGTGAATGAATCATTTCCGTCCCTACAAACCATATATATTCTTGATCAGCATCAAAAGCTGAATCGATCTAGCCATGTCCGGTCAAAAAATAAATTTTTAAGATTTTTCCGAAAATTGAAAATTTCATAAGGGGTTACATCATTAAAATTGTCAAAATTTGACAAAAAATGGAATCTTTTAAATTTGAAAACTAAGTATGTAGATTTGTTAATCTATTAAAACTTAGCATAGAACAGCTTTCCGAATTAAAATCAATGATTTTTTGGCTTAGTTATGCATTTTTTAAACTATGATTTTCGGAGAAAATTGCCTGTTTTTATACCTTTTTGCAAGGTTTTATAATTTTATTTAAAAACTAACAATAGCATCAACAAACGCAGTATGCAGATTAAATAGTACAATAAAAACCAGTACAAAACAGCTTTCCGAATTAAAATTAATGCATTTTCGGCTTAATTATGATGTCCGAAATACTTAGATTTTTAAAAAAATTGTCCGTTTTTATACCTTTTTCGTTGGGTATAATTTAAGTCAGAAGCTTGTTACGCTGTGAATGAATCATTTCCGACCCTACAAACCATATATATTCTTGATCAGCATCAAAAGCTGAATCAATCTAACCATGTCCGGTCAAAAAATAAATTTTTAAGATTTTTCCGAAAATTGAAAATTTCATAAGGGGTTACATCATTAAAATTGTCAAAATTTGACAAAAAATGGAATCTTTTAATTTTGAAAACTGAGTATGCAGATTTGTTAATCTATTAAAAATCAGCATAGAACAGATTTTCGAATTAAAATCAATGATTTTTTGGCTTAGTTATGTGTTTTTAAAACTATGATTTTTGGACAAAATTTTGAAAAAGTCAATTATTGTATTGAAGTATACTTTTCTTTAGTAAAATCGTTTTTTATTGCCTATGCTCTAAAGCCTTGAAATCTATAGAAGGGACAGCTATTACTAATAAACATTGGTAGTTAGGGTGTGTGTATTAAAGAAATCATAAATGAGATATTTTTATAAATACAACACATTTTTAATAAATCATTTTCTTTAGTATCATTATCCTTTAGTATATGACTCTTCGCTTTGTGTACCTACATAGATCTCAACACCAAAGTGACATAGAACTATGCATATGGCGCATACTTCCGCCGCACACTCGCACACAGCCAGTGGCACCTGGAATACCTGCAGATGGGCGAAGTTGAAGCCACCGCAGAAGCCAGATATGTATGCTGATACGCTCGGTGGAATACCTGACACTGAGTGTGCTCATTTCCGTGGTCTGCCCACCAGTTCCCAGTCCCCAGACCTCTCGCATCTAGCCCCTGTCCCCCAATCACCAGACCGACCTCGGCATCGCCCATTCGGAAATTCCTCGACCTCTCCAGGCTTTAGAGAGAGAAACCAAAGTGTGGGCCATTGATAGTAGTTTAGGAGTCGCTTTCAGGAGAATTGGGTTCACGGAGGCGGAAACGGAAACTATTTGCTGCCATTTCGGCAAATGGCAAATGGCAGAATGCAGGCATTAATCGAAATTTTATTGGCAAAAAGAGCAATTGGTGGGACTGAAAAAAGCCAAAACACAATCCACTTAGCCTCGGACGATGTCTGGTCCGCATATGCATATGCATCGCATCACACATTGTTTGCACACTTGGCATTTCGGAGGGAAATTCGCAAAAGTTTTCCCAGCAACACTTTCGTTGCAGCTCGGCTGAAAAGTGTTGCCTATTTTGAGGCTCTCCTCTGTGTAGGTGTGTGTGTGTGTTAGCCTGGATGCCAACGCAAATGCGGGGGCGTGTGGGTGTGAGTGCAAGTGGGCGAGTATGTGGCCTGCCTTAATAGCCTTTTATTGGACGAGCCACGCCCCCTGGGGATGTCAGCCAGGTTCATTGTCAAAATTATTTTGTGGTCAACTTGCGTTCATACTTCTGGAAATACTTTCGGTCGGGCCGAAACACACACACACACATCCGTACAGAGCCCGCAAAACTATTCCCAAAACAGCATCAGAAATTCATAATTCGTTGTCCGACGCTGTCAATATTGGATTGGATTGATTGGATTTTATTTGCATAGCCTCAAAGAGCGGCAAACAAATTGAAAACATTGCCAGTTTGTATTGTGAATCGGCCTCTGGTTATTAATTTCAAAAAACATTGCTTTCCTGCTTTATGGGAGCAATCAAGTGCCAAATCAAACATAGCATATTCGTTATTAACTTTCGCAAAAAATTCTGTTTAACACAAAGGGCTTTCTTGGTCAAAAATAGTTTTATTTGATTTATTTTATGCATTAAATGGGGAAATAACAAACAATTGTTCACTTGGCTGTGAGATTAAATTTTAAGAAAAATAAATAAAAATATATTAATGCAAATATAGATTTTTGCCAACAAAAGTAAATGCATTTTATAAGCCACTAATGTAGCATAGTTTTAAAGATACTTATAATGATTAACGCATTCGATGCGAAGTTAAAAAATGGAAAAACTAAGGAATATGATATTTTAAATAATTTCTTATAACAAAATGCTATCACACTATTAATAAAATGGATATTAAACAACTAAACCCTTTATTTTAAATAAATATCCGAACAGGGCAACAAACTATTAAATCTAGAGTTCTACCTTTTCTTCAAAAAATAAATAAACACATTGAAAAATGTTCTTTAAATAAGTAAGCAAGAACTAAAAAAATACCTATTTTAAATCACATTTCATTAAAGAGTATCTTTAAACGAAAATCAAGGAAAACCATATTTCCAGGAAAAGAAACATTCCGTAAGCTCCCAAAAAACCAAGAAAATCGCACGCAAGCTGCTGTTTTTGGGAGGGCCTTGGCCGGAAAACTTTAGCACCGGAGTACTCCCCACCTGAACGGACGACGGAGGAGGAAAATCTCATTGGGGCTACGGGCCGCAGGCCGGGCACACGCAACTATGCCAAAAACGAAAAGCGTGAAAACCCCAGAGACGGAACGAGCCGGTAAATGCCTCGACTGCCGGTGAAAAATACTTTTGGAACATACCTGTGCGTCCACTACAATCGGCAGACAATTTCGATGCCGCCGCTGCTGCGTTGGCCGTTGCTGCAGCAGCTCCGCATCCATTGCTACTTCCGTTCCCATTGCCATTGCCATTGCCACTTCCACTTCCCGTTGCCACTGGTGCCGGTGTGGCCGTCGTTGTCGTAGCAGTAGCAGAAGCAGCAGCGATTGCGGCAGCAACTGCTCCGCCTAATTGCGAGGTGGCGACTGCGGGTGCTGTTGCCGACGATGGAGCTGCCCCAACAGAGCCAACAGCTGCCCCAGAGCCAGCAGCAGCAGCGGCCGCAGCAGCAACAGCAGCAGCTGTTAATGTGTTGCAGGCGGAGTTGAGGTTGCTGTTGCTGTTGTTGTTGTTGTTATTGTTGCTGCTGATGCTGCCAAGGGGGCTGTGTCCTGGACTGTGTCCTGTGGGCGTGGGGCAGCTGTTAATTGGCACTGGCGTGGTCGAAGCTGCGTGGTGTAGCTGGTGTTGCTGATGATGATGGTGTTGCTGCTGCTGCTGCTGCTGCTGCTGTTGCTGTTGCTGCTGCAACGTTAATGAAGCCGTTGCCATTGTGGGACTGTTGTTGCCGGAAATGCTCGTGGGTAAATTGCTGTTGCCATTGCTGTTGCTATTAGCCAGATGCAAGGTGTTGCCACCGCCAGCATGGCTGGGATTGTCCAGGAAGCGGGCACCGCCATGATTCTGCTGCAGCGAGTACAAGCCGCCACCGACTGGATTCAGATTCGTGGGCATTGGGTAGAACTCCAGCATCTTATACACTTGGTAGCACTCTATTTTCTATGTCAGTTTCTATGTCTGTTTCTATGCTCAGCACACGCGACGACACTCACGAAAAACGAGTTGACGAGTCTTTGGGCTCTTTGGTTCAGAGTTTGAGGATTCGGTTCGCTTTTATCCGAGGACAACCAGCCGCGTTCGCTGTCAGTTGGCGTGTGATCGAACAATCAGCGAAATCAAAGCATTTCACTTTGCCTTGCCTTTGGCTTTGGGAAAAAAATCCCAGCTGAAATGTACCCCCGCACACAGTCGCACACTCGCAAATATACCCGCACACACACCCCTAGTGCGCCTGCGCCTGTTTACAAAAGCAACGGAGCAACAACTGCCGCTGCTGCTGCTGCTGCTGCTCCTGCTCGCTGTGCCGCTCCTGCTGCACGTGACGGGGATGGCCAGGGGTGGGAACCCGGCCCCGGTGCAAGGGTTGCATGTTGCCCCCTGTGCAACCCCCGCTCTCGAAGGCCGGAGCGCGCATGTCTCAAGTGATTATTAGCAGCAAGGGAAATTCTGCGAGAGCGGATTTCCCTTTGCCAGCGGAGGCCACACCTCAGCTGCCTGCCGATTGGCTGTCGCTTTCCCCGGCGACCATTTTTCCGCACTGCGCATGCTCGCAGGGGAAATATATGTTTTTTTCCGTTTGTGTTTTCATTGATGTCTTGGCTTTAATTCGAGACCAAGCTGGCCATAAAGGGGCGTGTTGCTGGTGTTGTTGCTGGGGCACAAAGACATACTTGCACTTGCACTCGCGGCAACTTTGGCGGCGACAATATCCTCGAGTCGTGTTGTTGCTGCTGCCGCTTTGAGTGGCACGACTGGACCAGAATGCCAACCCAAACAAAGCAAAAACAAAATCGACAGAATCGACAGCAGCAACAACAGCAACAGCAGCAGCAGCAACAACAGAGCTGAAGAAAAACGATGGCCTTGTCTTCTTTTGCGCTTTTTTGCACTTGCACTTTACTTTTTGCGGGTGCAAAAAGTTGGCGATAAACAAGAGGCCAAAAAAGGGTGTTCCCTTAGAATCTGGCACAAATTCTCTTTACATTGCAGAACATTTTTTTAGAAAATCAAAATTATGGATCAAATAATAAAGCCTAAACATTTGAAAAGGTTTAAAATTTCGGTTGTTCCTATTATAATCCCATCTCAAATGTACTTTTTATTCTGCTTAATTAATGTTATTACTTATTTTAGAATTAAATCATAAGTAAATAACTATTTAATATACATTTCTGATATTATGGTAATTATATTTTTCCTTTTCATATTCAATAACGAAAGTACTTGTAAAATTTTGAAACCTACTCTTTATGCTTTTAATTTCTATCTAGAATATTATGCCAAACTTAAAATCAATTAATAGTGTTCTTTACATTCTACTACAAGAATCTTTAAAGGGCTTAAATATATATTTTATTTCCATTTTTATAGGCCAACGACTGTCACCCTGTATGGGCCATTGAGGAAACGAATCTCCGTCGACTGACAAGCAACGAGGCCGAAACCCCATTTCCGACGGTCCGAAAAGTCGGGGGTCCACAGAGCCAACTATATGGTGGAACTATATGCCCACACTAACACACACACACATTCCGCACGAAGGAAATAAAGGACGAAAGGAAAGCGGAGCGATAAGATGAAAAGCGGATGCTGGAAAGACAAACCAAACATGGGGCCGTGCACAAAAGTTTGGCGCTACTTCCCAAGCCCAAGCGAAACTGGATTTCCTTGCCGCTTTTCCTCCTTCGAACTGGCAACTTCCTTGACTTAAGACTAGGCTTTGGCTCAGCGGGAAACTTCTGGGCCAGCCAGAGTTAAGTGAGGAGGGAACAGGGATATGTTCTTTAGGCTCTGGATACCTGGGCTCCGGAGGAGCCGCCTCCGCCAAGTGGGAGAATTCGGCGAACTTGTTGGCATCGAGCAGCACTTGTACCAGGAATTGGCATAGCGTGCTTGGGTTTTCCCGTATTTTCCTCCTGCTGCTCACTTCACCTCCCCAGGTTTTTCTTGTTGCTGGCAGTTTGTGCAACTTTGAAAACTTTATTCACCGATTCCGACTGGCACAAAGGCCCCCGAAGCCGGAACATTTGTGCTGTGGAATTATAACAAAGCAGCGGAAAGTATCTGCTGCACGAAATTTTCCCCAATCCGAATGTTTTTCGCTTCGCATCCAAACACAAGAACAAAGTCGGTGCCAAGTGTGTGCAGAATTTAAAGCAATTATTAGAAGTCTAGGAAGCATTCTTCCAAGTCCGACTCAGAGGACATCGACTGTATCGCAACTAAATGTATTTGATTCTTTGAAATAAATAAAAGGTTAAAGCTACATGTGGGGAAAAAATATAATATATTATTCCATACCAGGGTGTTATAATTTTAGTCAGACGCAGTAAAGGAGTCATTTCCGACCCTACAAACCATATATATTCTTGATCAGCATCAAAAGCTGAATCGATCTTGCCATGTCCGGTCAAAAAATAAATTTTTAAGATTTTTCCGAAAATTGAAAATTTCATAAGGGGTTACATCATTAAAATTGTCAAAATTTGACAAAAAATGGAATCTTTTAAATTTGAAAACTGAGTATGCAGATTTGTTAATCTATTAAAACTTAGCATAGAACAGCTTTCCGAATTGAAATCTATGATTTTTTGGCTGAGTTATGCGTTTTTTAAACTATGATTTTTGGAGAAAATTGCCTGTTTTTATACCTTTTTGCAAGGTTTTATAATTTAATTCAAATACTAACAATAGTTTTAATAAACGCAGTATGCAGATTTAATAGTACAATAAAAATAAGCACAGAACAGCTTTCCGAATTAAAATTAATGCAATTTCGGCCTAATTATGATGTCCGAAAAACTTAGATTTTATAAAAAAATGGTCTGTTTTTATACCATTTTTGTTGAGTAATTTATGTCAGAAACTTGTTACGCTGTGAGGGAATCATTTCCGACTCTACAAACCATATATATTCTTGATCAGCATCAAAAGCTAAATCAATTTTTTTGAATTCCTTAAATATAAAAGTCTCATTTGCTAGTATCCTAATAAAATCCGATACAGAAAAGTTTTCCAAATTGATATTAATGCATTTTTAGCTTAGTTATAATATAGCTGCCTTATAGCTGCATTTACTTTAAACCGTTTTCAGAGCTTCTTGCCTTTATTATACAATTAATGTATTATAATTATAAGCTATTCTACAAAATTTCTCTGAAAAAGGGCATCTTAATATGGTTTGCATAATCCAAATGTCAGAGATCCAAACTGTATCCATTGCTAACCAAATAAAAGCTTTATGGCCATTTAACGGCCGTCATCAACCTACTACTTTTCCGGTCAAAGTCCACCTCCACTCTGTGACGGACAAACTGACTAACTTTATGATGGCAATCGAAAGCGATTCGGAGGCGCGTGCATAATTAATCCTTCGGCTGGGGGACCTAAGCGATAAGGTTAATGGAAGGAGGAGGCACTAGTGTCCTGGCCACTGCTGTGGCGAAATTATGGTTTACAGGCCCCATAAAGATAGGCACTTATTTTCCGGCCATATCGGCCAGATAGCAACAGTAAACCGCACAAAAGCGAAAATTCAATTAACCTTGACAGAAGACCGAAAACCCATCCAGTAATCGGCATAATGATGACAACATCACACAGTCGATAAGTTCGAAACCGCCGACAGACAAAACCCACTGAGAGAGCGGTAATAAAATCACATTGACAATGGCAAAAAGTGGAAATTGTCATAAAACTCGTTGGCAAACAGGAACCAAAAAGGACTGGCAGGCAGACAGGATGAGTCCCGGGCACTGGAAACAAATTTAATAAAACACCGGAGGAGAAAAGGAAAACAATCCGGCAAAGGGTAGCTGCGCTCTCTTTGGATGGGCTTGCCATTCAGATTGTGATTCTGATTCGGGTTTGGGTTCAATGCATCCATTGTCTCTCAGTCCCCGCTGCTCCCTTTCACCCCTTGTCAATGGACGAGGACGAAGTAATATTGAATAACCACAACAGCAGCAACAACACGAGCACGCTCGGCAGCCCCAGGATAAATAGTTTTTCTATGGCCCTTCAATTACCATTTGAGCATGATGAGCGCTAAGGAGGCATGAGGCATAGACATTGGCATTGGAAAGTGGTAAGTGGCATGTGGTAAGTGGCAAGAAAGAAACCTAGACGAAGGAGCCGCCCAAGACTGCTTGAAAATATGCCTTGGCGTGCAGGACCACCATCCTGGCGCTGGTATAGGGGTCATTAGGTGGAAACATTTACTCTAACTCTATGCCTGGAGAGTCGTCTATTGGCGGCCAGTCAAGTAGAAGATGCCCGGATGGAGCGGACGGAGGTGTCATTGTTTGTTTTGGCAGCCGGGCAACAGAGCTCAAGGATCGGTACTGGGTCTCGGATTCAGTAGGATCTAGGCACTGAGCCACAAGAAGGACACTGCTGCAGCTGCTGGGAGCGGAGGAGGAGGCAGCAGAAACTGTCAACGCAACACGCGTTCCATATACACTAGAAAAATTACAAATATATAGAAATTGTAATAGAATATATAAATTCTACAAATAAATTTGGAAATATCCTTAGGCAATGTTTTAATTTTTACCAGGATGCGACTTTCCAGAACCTCTAAAATGATTTTAGACCACATGAAACCGCTATTAAGATTTCTTTCGGTGTACCTTCTCATTTCCTCCGCCCACGAATTATGACGTGCGTAAACAATGGGTTTGAGGAATGCTGCACTGCACCCGCCACGAGGAATGAGAGTAGTCCAGGGGAGGGAAGAGCCGAGGCCTCGCAGCAGGGTCGACCCTAAAGTGGGCTAATTTGACGATGCCCCGCGTGGCAAATGCAACCTCCAGCCCCATGGCTTGTCTAGTGTCCAGGACGAAGGAAAAGTGTTAAAGGATTTATGCGCGTAATTTTGCAGATGTTTAGATTTCGCTCTCGACTCGCTGCAGCTCAAGTACACTCGGCAAATGAGTGCGGTATTTTCTGATTATAATTTCAAATTGAAAGGGATCTACAGAGAATGATTCTCAGTGTGTAACTGATACGAGTCATAGGTATAATTTTTATAAGATATATTCCTAATTCTACTTTTTTATGGGTAAAGCGTAGTTAAG